TATATATTAAATAAATAATTTTAAAATGGATTGGTGCGATTTAATTTATTTTGTTGGATATAAAACGAAAACTAAATTAAACTAGCGAGTTCGACAACTCTAAATTAAATTATTTATTTTTAATTTTAAATAATTTTTAATTAATTAATTTAATTTAAATCAGTTTAAGTAATTTAGTCCAATTTTGGACAACCCATCCGATGCATCACTTTTCAAAAGCCAGCGGCCCCAGACGTCGACCCTTGCAAGTGGCCACATGCTTCGTGGCCGTGCAAGAAGTAACTAGGGGAACTAACTTATTTATGAATTTTGAAATTTCATAAATTTGTCCAAAATACGGAAAATATAAAAAATTGAAATACTAAAAATAATTATGAACTTGTATACTTTATGACCATTAAATATTGAAGTCATATAATTTAATAAAATAATTGAACAATTTAGTATTTTATTAATTTGTATTATTTTGTATATCCAATAGTTTGTATAATTAATTTAATTTTTAATTTTTAATTTTTATTTTATGATAATCCTTTTTGTAATTTTTCTTTCTAGCAAGACCGTGTGGCTTTAGAAAGAATTTAACTTCTACACTGATTTAATCAATGACTCGAAGATTTAGCTTTAAACACTAAGCCCACTTTATTTTTTTATTTCTAATTTTTAATTATTTAAATATTGATCGCAGTTATTTTTTTCTAAAATGAGAATTTATATTTAAAATAAAAAATAAAAGATAAATAACACTTTTCTTCCTTCAAGTGTATTTAAATGACATGCAGTCTCATTCTGCTCAGTAAAAAATACTCTCCTCATTTAATTTAAGTTGACTAATTATTTTCATCTATTTGCTATTAGAAAATATTAATTTAAATATTAAATTAGTTATATTAAATAAAATTATTTTATAAAAAAAATAAATTTTATATGATTAAAATAAATTTCTTATCATATAAAATTAAATTGTTCATTATAATTTAAAAATATTAACAAGTTAATTTATTTATTAAATTTTTTTAATTTCTAAATTTTATAATTTTTATATTCCTTGATTTAATACAAAAAATTAAAATTTAAAAAAATTTAAAAACTTAACTTATTAAGAATCTTAGTTTAAAATTTTGTTAAAAAGTTTTTATATCCTTTTATAATTAGAAATAATAAAATTAGAAATATCCTTTTGTTATATTTTTTTAACAAAATGGTAAAATTAGTTTTTTTAATAAAATAAGTTTTTAATTTTTTAAAATTTTAATTTTTCATATTAAATATGTGACACTCCAAAGAGGTGTGTGTAAGTGTGTGTGTCTGACACCTTTAAGCGAATTTCACGTTGATAAAACACGGAAGAGATTTTGAGTTTATAAGAAACTAGAAACTACTATTGAACAACTTGCGTTTAAACATTTTGAGCTAATGATTCAGATTCAACAAATTGTTAGACTCAACAAATTGTTAGGATTAGTAGTACTCGAGTCGTTACAAATGATGTTAAAACTACTCTGTGTGCAACCTTGAACGGTAGTGGGGCAAATCTCAACAATGACGCTGAGTCCCAAAGAGAGGGGTGTATGTGACACTTAACTTGGACTTAAATATTTTGAGACAGTGGTTCAGACTCAACAAGTTGTTAGAGTCAGTAGTATTCGGGTCGTTACAAAATCAAATAATGTAAAAATAAAAATTTTAAAAGTAAAATTAAATTTTTCATAATGAATAAATCAACTTGTTAATATTTTTTAATTATAATGAGTAATTTAATTTTATATAACAAAAAATTTTATTTTATTTTTATATAATATACATATAACAAAAAATTAATGTTAATATTTTAAATTAATATTGTCTAACAATAAGCGAATGAAATTATTAGTCAAATTTAGTTAAAGGAATGAAGTATTTTTTAATATTAAGAATGGAGTTAAATGTCATTTAAGCAAACTTGAAGAGAGATGAGTAAATAAATGGTGCTCTAGTAAAAATAAATTGAAGAGAGATGAGCATTATTTACCCATAAATAAATATGGTGCATATGCTTATTTCTAGTAAAAATAAATCTGCATCGCACTGTCATCAAATTAATTTTTAGAATTCAACTCTAATATAATTTGTCATAAGTTCATTATTACATCTTCAAAAGATATATATGTTACAAGATTATTATCTTTTTTTTTTTTTTAAATTTGTACTTCTTAGTTTATAGTCTCGTGGTTTGGTTTAGGAGCACTTTCTTTGATTTTTATTGTTGAGAGTCTTGATGATTAGATGCTTGAACACCACCTATTACGTTTCCTTTGTCTGTGCACTTTGCGGTTCTTGTACTGCCAAAAATAATATATGTGTAACATCCTGTCCTATATTAATTTTTTAGAAAAGTTTGATATGGTATTTAAAAAATTAAAGATACTACTGAACAATTTAGATTTAAGTATTTTTAGACAGTAGTTCAGACTCAATAAGTTGTTAAGACTAGTAATTCTCAGATTGTTATAAAATGATATCAGAGCAAAATAATTTTCAGACTTGTTCTGTTTAGGTATGAATATGAATTTTTGACTTGACGAGAATGTTAAGTGTTTAAGTATGGGAGATTATGACATCCCGTCCCACATCGGTTTCTGAAAGAAATTTGATATAATATATAAAAGACTAAATATTACTACTGAACAACTTAAATTTAAGTATTTTAAACAAGTGGTTCAGTTTCAACAAGTTAGTTAGAACAAGTAATACTTAGGTCGTTACTCTTTATTTTTATTTATTTTTAAATAATAAATATAGGTCATACCACTGTCAAATTTTTTTATTAAATTTGATTTTAATATCACTTGTAATAAAATTATTACTCAGTTAAAAGATGTATGTATTTAGATGTGTAATTTAATTATTTATAGTAATTTTTTTTCATTTACCTTATCTTACGTGAAATTTGGCAGACATAAAGGGAAAAAAAATATTTTTTTTAAATAAAAGAAAAAACAAGGAAAGCTCCAAACTTTGACGTAATTTTGGGAAGAAATAATACAGCGGAAACTGGGTGACGAAAAAACGGGGAATTTGGATTGCAGCGTCCAAAAACTCCACGCGTTTTCTCCGTGACAAGGTCAGAAGAGCACAACCCTTTTACTACCATCTTATACCTACCTGTAACGAATTCCACTTGTATCGACGTTGACACGGTGTGAACCAATAGAGAGCTCCGTCGTCTAACCTTCCCACCACTTGCCGCGCTCCAACTCGTCACTCTGTTAACTTCTCTTCGAGGATCTGATCGAGCTTGACTCGTATTTTGATCAACATGCTGTGACTTCCCCTCTCCAGTTGTTCAACAAACAGCAAGCCGCTGTTTCATTTCCACTTGTTTTAGTTGATTTGATTCTGATTCGTTGATCCTTAGATAAAACTTACTTCATTTCGATTAGGGCTTTTCGTTCCTATTCTGTGTGTTGAATCTTGGATTTGCCAATAGTTTCAAATCTTTGTTCACAGCTTCACGCCATGGCAGGCGAACCACTCTATTGAATTCAAATTTTGTGACAATTCTACCGTGATTGTCATTAATATCAAATTTCCGTCCCTTGCTTGGTTAATCTAAGCTTTTCTTTTTGTTTAATTTTTAGGAAATGTATGTTAGATAACTCGGGTTTGACCTTTGGTCGAACGATCAGATCGTTCTTCTTTAGTACTGTCAAGAACGTTAGATCTTGATGTGGGATATTGAGGAAATATTGAGGAGGTGTTAAGTATAGCAGGTGATATTAATGGGGAATACTTGTGTTGGGCCAAGCATTTCGAAGAATAGTTTCTTCCAATCGGTCTCTGCAGCAGTTTGGAGGTCTCGATTGCCCGCAGACAATGTTTCCACCACCAACGAGGAAAGTGTCCGTGCCACTCCATCTTCGGTCAAAGAACAGGAATCACCAATGGCCGTTCAGAGCAAACCACCAGAACAAGTCATAATTCCTAAAGAAGAACCACAACCACAACCACAACAACTACAACAGCAGCAACAGCAACAGCAACAGCAGCAGCAGCAGCGGCAACAACAACAACAACAAGAAGAGCCCCCAGCAAAACCCCTGAAGCCCCCTCGGATGAATAGAGTGGCAAGTGCAGGACTCAAGACAGGATCAGTTTTGCAGAGGAAAACTGGCAATTTGAAGGATTTCTACACATTGGGGAAGAAGCTTGGACAAGGTCAATTTGGGACCACCTTTCTCTGTGTGGAGAAGGCTACTGGGAAAAAGTTTGCTTGTAAATCCATTGCTAAGAGGAAGTTGTTGGCTCCAGATGATGTCGAGGATGTGAGAGGGAAATTCAGATAATGCACCACTTGGCTGGGCATCCAAATGTTATATCAATCAAAGGGGCTTATGAGGATGGCATGGCAGTTCATGTTATTATGGAGCTGTGTGAAGGGGGAGAGCTTTTCGATCGGATTATTCAACGTGGGCATTACACAGAAAGAAAGGCAGCTGAGCTTACCCGGATCATAGTTGGGGTGGTAGAAGCCTGCCATTCTCTGGGCGTAATGCATCGTGACCTAAAGCCGGAGAATTTTCTCTTTGTTGATCAGAAGGAGGATTCTCTTCTCAAGACTATTGACTTTGGATTATCTATATTCTTCAAGCCAGGTACATGTTAGTCCCTAGTTTTAATAAGGACTATATATTCTTTTAATGTCAAACTGTTATTCACGGTAAGCATTTATTTACTAGAACATTAATAAGTGATCTGAGATTTTATTAGATGCAGATATGGCAAATGGCATTCTTCCTCAAAGTTATGATGCCATATAGCAAACAAATTGGTCACTTACTAAATTTAGATTAGTTAGATTTAGAATGGCAAATTAATTGAAACCATTGATTCTATCAGAAAATCCATTTTTCAAAATTTTTATCCCTCTAGATTTGGTCCAAAGATATTGTGATAGTGTTTGCTTCAACTTTTTTCTCTTCAAATTGAACAAAGAAGAAGTTAAAGTTTTAATTTACGAACTTAGTCCCAAAGAGAACTTAAGGAAGTTTCAGCTGTCATTTGGGCAGTCAGACTCTTATTGAGTTCCCTTTCTCTAGGAAACCTTATTGGGATGTTTTTCTTCCCCAGTTTTCATTTTATATTTTGAACCTTCACTTTGGTAATGTTAATTTGTGCACTTGACTAGATTGGTGCCAGAAGATATACATATAGATAAATTGAGTTCATAATTGTCTTCTACCTTTTTTTCTGTTTGCATTCTTGTACAGTGGAATGGAGTTCATATTTGTCCTTTGTAAGCTGTCATCTTCAATCTTGTCAATGTAGATTAGTTATCCAATAAATTTACTTAGAAATGGAGCTCCTTCATTTCTGTGAATTATTTCACACACTAATCCTTGATTATTCCATATTTAAAGTTTTCAATATTCTGTTATTGCTGCATATGACTTTCTTGTTTAAATTGAATTTAGTTTACACGAGTTGCAATTTCCTCCTATCAATTGACTTTGTCTAACATAGGACATAGAACCACAGGGCTAAGGGATTTTAGAATCTGAATTAGGATGGTAGAAAATATTCTGGGGCTGCTCCTCTGTGGTGAACTATATGTGTGAAGGGTAAATATCTGTTTAGTACTTATTTGAATTCTAGGGGGTTAGAGGATTAAAGGAAAAAAGAGGGCAAAATTGGTGTTTATTGGTGGACGATAGGGAATCACTTAAGTTACATGACATTGCAGATTCAGATGCAAAATAACTCAACAGAGAGGAGGAAGAAAGAAATCTAGAAGTGCACCCAGATCCCCTGAGGCATAATACCTATGGTTAGCTAAGAAGCAAGCATGGACTTGGTGTCTGACTCAACATGCACATGGATACAATGACATAACCTTGGGAAAATTTGGACACAGGCACAGACACAACAATGATATGACTAAAGGATTTAAAGTTTTTATTATTTATGTTGATATATGAATAGAACATTTTAAAATGACCCAAAATAAATATCCACTAATCAAATTAATCCTTTCATGCTTCAACACTACTTAACATAAACTAAAAACTACTATAAAATTAGAATAACTCTTTCATTCTCTTAATACCTAAATTTAGATGATATATGAATTTACTTTCACATTATTTATACTAATAATTAATGTTGAGTGAGTTGTATTTGATGTAGAAACATGTCTGTCTATGTGGCAAGACACGCGTATCCAAAATTAAAAAAATGAAAACAAGAATTACGTGTCTTGTAATGTCCCTAAAGTATTTGTATCATATTGGATATGAATACATCACAATAGATGGAGTGTCAGTGCTTCCTAGATGGTTATGATTGTGTCATACAAACTCTCAAAATAGATGTAAAAAATTCAAAATAGTTCTAGGAATGGTTCTTGATTGAAGAAGCAATGAAGCATTAAATGGTTATATAGACTTTGGAGACTCCAATACCCACCATGGATAGGATTTATAATTAGGAAATGAATCCTTTGATTTTAAAGTCCTTATTTAAATATACTGAAGAAAGTTTGTATTAGAACCAAAAAGTATTTAGAAATTAGACCCATTTTACAATTCTTGACCTGTAAGAACTGTACATATTGAGAAAGTTCACATAGTAGAAGGATATTCATGACCTAGAGTTGGAAATATTTATATGTATACAAAGCCAACTAGATTATTTACTCTATGCAATAAAGCAAAGTTTGAATAAGAGTAGAAGTTTGTTTCAAGTGGCTCCAAATCCCGACTTTCTTGGCAACTAAATATTTTCCAAACTTGAACATTTAAACTTTTTTTTTCTTTTCTTTTGCTCTTCTTAAGGACTGCATCCACATCCTGTATGACATATTTTTGTTTCTTTGAAAATCAATGTTGAAACTCTTGTTTCTAGGAATTGGTAGCTAAAGCGAAAGCATGGCTAATAAAGATAACACTTTGAGGTTGTCATAACAAGTTATGTGTGTGTCAGACAGAATGTCACCAAAAAAACACCAACACCTGCACAAAGCAAATGTGTTATACTTTCATTCCAACACAGTGAACTTAGTGGCCTAAAGAGATCTCAAAGTCATCTGAAGATCATCTCAAAGTCTGCATTGTATGATTATCACATAACTATAAGCCAACCTACCAACCCAAATATGCTGCTACCTTTTAATATGTTTCTGAACTGGTTTGTTGATCTATTATGACTCACCAGTTGCAGTGCACTGATTCAATTAATGTCACATATTATTTTGTAATCTTCATAATGGAATAGTCCTTAAATCACTATGTTTGTCCACCTCTTTGTTGGTGAAGAACCCATCTCCCACCAGGCTACCAATCTCCATCTACATTGCTTGCCACCCCCTGCCTAAACAACATTGGTACTGCTATCTTGGCACCAATTATCCCCAAAAATCACTGTTGTTGTCTTGCAGCCAGCATTGCGGTCCATCCTCACCATCTGCCTTGCCACTTTCTTCACCGTTGTCACCTTCCATCATTCAATCCCTCTTACTACAAGCCATCAGTGCCGCCCCTACTACAAGCCCATCACATTCCTATCAAGCACCATCCTGTCATTGCAGTTTCCTTTTTTCTATTTTTGTGTTATTAATCATATTTTCAATCTTCTTGCAACATGTGGTTATGGTTTCTCCTTCCTGGGAAACAGGCATAAGCATGTTCTCTGATTTCTGCTTGTATAAGGGGAAAAAGACTGATAACATGACCTAATATACACTTACTTTAAACCGTCCCTTTGTTGAATCCACACTCTGGGATTTACCACACTCCCATACAGCTGAAGGGGCACACACACACACACAAAAAAAAAAAAAAAAAAAAAAAAATCTCCTCCATGAACTATAGGATTTAACTGTTTGAAAGGTTGAATGTTATATTACAAGCATCGAAATTAGGGAGTTTTTCCTCCCCTGCAGAAACCAATTAATTATAACTATAATAAAACCTCCATGTGTGAGTCTGTACTGGGAGTTCAGAACCTTTATAAATTATAAGTTTTTTCTACCACTCTTGATGATATGCTTAGGTTCTTCTGCTCCCTTGTTTTGAAAAATTCAATTTTTATTCACCTGCTTGTATGATGATATTAATTCGTCACGCTTAGTAAATTTCCATTGCATGTATTGGGTTCCTCACCTACAATTTGCCTGTGTCATCAATACATAGTTGCCCTGTCCAGTGATATGGATTCCACCCTTCTGTTGCAAATGATGAACTGGTTTGATCTATTTTTCCAGGTGAAAAAATTTAATGATGTGGTTGGTAGCCCATACTATGTTGCTCCAGAAGTATTGCGAAAGCGCTATGGTCCTGAAGCTGATGTTTGGAGTGCTGGAGTAATAGTTTACATTCTACTAAGTGGAGTTCCTCCTTTCTGGGCAGGTGATAATTCTGTGCTTGTTGGAAAACACATTTCCTATGTTTGCATTTATTTCTTCCTATTCATGAAGATATTGATATTGATTATGTTACCCTTCCTTTTTTCTTCCTGATCACGGTCATAGAAACCGAACAAGGAATCTTTGAACAGGTCCTGCATGGTGATCTTGACTTCACATCTGATCCTTGGCCAAGTATTTCAGAAAGTGCAAAGGATTTAGTAAGGAGAATGCTTGTTCGAGATCCTAGAAGGCGCTTAACTGCACATGAAGTTTTGTGTGAGTGTTTGACAATATTGCTTTTAACTTATTACAGTTTTTCATTTAAATCAGTTTCATTCACAACTTGAAAACTTTTTTTATTTTCTCTTTTAGAGAAAAAAAGATAGATTTTATTAAATTAGAGAGAAATATTGTTATATTTATGTCTTTTAACTTTGATTAAACAATAATCTGTATTTTGTAATTAGGACTAGACATTGCATTATGGACATCTCAGGTTCATATCCTTGATCCTTATGCTGCAAATTCTTATTATCCTACTTATTTTCTTCATAACTTTTTCCCTGATAATTCTCAGAATCACTTTTGAAGGTATTAGGCAACTGACCAGGGAAAAGATAGTTTTAGAAATCAATCTTAATGAACTGATGGGATTTATGTATTGCTTATTGCTACATTTCATGCTCACTATTGGAATATTCAGTTATTGTTCATCTCCACTGAAAAATTGCTCAACAATTTGATAGAAGCCAGTTGATTTTTTAAAGTATTTTTCCCCTACCCACTTCCCTTGCCAATAAGGTAACAAGTTTAAGTACTTAGAAATCTTGGTCATTTAATGGATGAGAAACATGTATATTTCTATGCAAAATATTCTCAGTGACTATTTTTCAATAAAGGATGTCAAGGAATGATCTTTGGCAGTTCTCTCCTCTGATTCTTTATACTCTTGTTTCACAGTTAACATGACAATCATAGCATTTTTTTTCTTTTAAGCACATCCAAATGGCTTAGTTGGTTTTGGATGTCAATTTTGGAAAATATAACTCAACAATTTGTTTAGACTTACTTTTTATCAAATGATTTGCTAAGAAATAATAATATAGAGTATGAGGTTATCCTTTGTCTACAAGTTTCAGCTTTTAGATGATATGGTGATCAACAATTTAGCATGGTACCAAAGCAAGCACAAGGCCTTGGAGTTCAAATCTTGCCTCTTCCATGTCTAATATTTCACATGTTGGACCTATTCATGATTAAAATGCCGGCCACATGTGAGGGATGTGTTAAGAAAGAATAGTATAGCTATTCCTTTCTCTACAAGCTTGATTTTTTAGATAGAATGTTGATAGAAAACTTTAATTCTATTCTTAGCTTATAGTTCATATCTCTTGCTTCCTTTCCCTCAACTTTCTGCTCTTCAAGTGTTTGCATCTTTCATTGATAGCATTCTCAATTTTCTCCCTCTCTTTTTTTGTTCAGAATTTTCTTTTAGTAATTTGACTCTACAAGTCTGGTGAATATTTTGTGTTGTTGGCTTTATTTTGCCAAATTGTTATAAATCTTTAGCATTCTATATTTGATTCAGGATTCAGACCCAAAGCTTTAAATGCTTTCTGTTTTTGAGTCTCATATTTTGACAGCCTTAATACTAACATGTAATTTAATTACCTACAGGCCACCCTTGGGTTCAAGTTGATGGTCTGGCTCCTGACAAGCCTCTTGATTCTGCAGTCCTAAGTCGCATGAAACAATTTTCTGCTATGAACAAACTCAAGAAAATGGCTCTCAGAGTAAGTCACTGCATGAACAAGCATGTTGAAGAACAAGAAGTTATGCCTGTTTATGAAGAGATTTTTTAGTGGTCGACTGAGAATTTGGTTTAGACAATTTGTTCTTTGGACTGGATATAAGAATGCATGCATATTTTTCCTTGCAGGTTATTGCAGAGAATCTCTCTGAAGAAGAAATTGCTGGCCTGAAAGAAATGTTCAAAATGATAGATGCAGATGGCAGTGGTTCAATAACTTTTGAAGAACTTAAGGCTGGACTTAGAAGAGTTGGTGCTAATCTGAAGGATTCAGAAATTTACGATCTAATGCAAGCAGTAAGTGTCTGATAAAGTGATTTCGTATTTTAACTAAATGATACAAAACATCACATTTTTTAGGCAATTTCATCCAAACATGTGGAGGATAAAATACTTATCCGAAATTATCAAAATTCATGGGTAACACTTGCAAAGGGATTTCATCTTCTAGCTTAGAAAATGCATTAAGTATAACATAAATTGCAAGGAGTTAATATTTTCAATTTGTTTAAGTGGTGTGTTCTCCTTTTCTTGATTCATTTTAATCCACTTGAAAATTAAAGTTTGCTTTCTTAAAATATCTAGTTGTTAATGTTACATGAATTGCAGTTTATTGAATGAAATGTTCCATTCAGTTGACAAGTCACTGATGCATGTGATTTCCCAGTGTTTAATCTTATCAAAAATTCTCACACTTGCATATTTTGATGCATAAGAAGTTCTGCAGATGCATTGCTTATTTCTGATTGAATAGGATTATGGCAGTCCTGAGGATTTAGTTATTTTCTCTTAAGAGTCACTTTATACCAAGCCAGGGTCAGTTAATTGTTTTGTTGGCTAGACAAGGGTTATAATGACCCGACTACATTCAATTGTTTAGAAGACAGCCCTGTAAAACTTTAGGCAGGAAGATGTTCCTAAATTACTGGAGATCCATTTCATGTACAGATTTTTCCTTTATTCTTTCTTGTTTCTTTTGGTGGTGAATATATTACAGGTGATTACTTTTTAATAAAAAGGGGAGGTAATTTAGAAAACTAGTATTTCCACAAATAATAAACATATATTAGTCAGGAAGAGAGAGCTAAAACTGGCTAGAAGAGTATCTGGACTAGTGTTACTAAAAATCAGTTACAACCTACCAAAATATGCCATGTTAAGCACAATTTGAACACAGTACACTTTCATTCCAAAATGGTATATTTAGTAATAAAAAATACACCTAAAAATATTTTGCCATTTGTTTCCTCGATTTTTTCCTTAGGAGGGAAAATATCAAATAAAATGAAGCAAAACCTTAGGTAATTGAAGTTTTTGCTGTACAAATGGGCATGGTTGGGCCACAATACTATTGTAAAATGTGTTTTTTATATGATTTGTTTGAAGCAAAATAGTTCATATTTTAATTTGATACATTATTTTCTAGGTAAGTTTGCTTTTAAACATAAACTACTTCTAATAGTATACTCTATAAAAGTCTACCCCTATCCTATTATGCTTTTAAGCATATAGCATATTGCATTCCTGTTTCCTTTCCTGTTCTGTCTGTGCACTAGTAACGGTTTGCATTCCTGGTAACACAGGTCTCTACTTTGGTAGAGTATAGGAGTATTCAGTACAGTTCAGTTCTAATGACACGTTGTTTTTAAGTGTCATCTTATAGTGTTATATTTGGGGGCACAGTTCTGATTTCTTGTTACTTTTAGTCATGGATTATGTTTACTTTCAATTATATTACTTTCCTATTTTATGATGTCATTTCAAGAATTCTGGGATGCAACATAAAGAAAGGTGGATATTCAGCTACATATAATATTTAACTTGATGCTATCCTTTCTCCCTTTTTCTATCTTTTCTTTGGCTGTTGGGGAGTGGGGCAGGGGAAGCTTGGAGTTTAAAGTGATTTAACACGGTGTGCCTCAACAACCAGTTCACCTGCCTGGAGTGCTGCAGGGCAAGAAACAGGCAAAAAATAGAAATACCTTTAATTTGAAGAATAAACTGGTCTTGTCCTTGTATTCATTGGTCTTATTTGCTGACTTTCATGAAATTCTGTGTGCATCTTGACAAGGAAGAAAAGAACAGGAAATGCTTGAAATGGCTCTCCATTTCATATTCCTCTCTCTATCCTTGACAAATTTACTTCTTTGTGTTGTTCACTGGAATAAAAGAGTAATTCTGGGGACGGCATTATCACATATTGGACAAGTAAAAAGTTTCCCAAACAATAATTATGTTAGTTGGTATGGCTTTCCCTGATGTTTGAAGATCATTCTACCGAAGTATGAATTAATTTCAATACTGGAGATTTTCCTATGCCAACCACGCGCGTGCACGTGCACACACAGGTCTAGATTAATTGCCTCTGATCCTACTACATTTTCTGAAATTGCAGGCAGATGTTGATAACAGTGGAACAATTGATTATGGAGAGTTTATAGCTGCTACATTACATATGAACAAAGTTCAGAAAGAAGATCACCTCTATGCAGCTTTCTCCTACTTTGACAAGGATGGAAGTGGTTTTATCACCCCAGATGAGCTTCAACAAGCCTGTCAGGAGTTCGGCATAGAGCATGTCTGCCTGGAAGAAATGATCAAAGAAGTTGATCAGGACAATGTAAGTCAATAGAATAGACATTTTGAAAATGATTCTCATTTTATTGCTGGTTTTTTATCATTCTTGATCTTTTTGATCAATTCTGCAAAATAATTTCCAGTTTTGTGGATATTTTTGCTTACGTTGAATCATTTCTGAATCCAAGCTTTATCTTCCTGTAAGAACATGAAGGAAGAAATATGGGTTTCACGAGCTATATAATAATCTATGTTCTAAATCGCTTTCTCCAGGATGGGCTCATAGATTACAATGAGTTTGTGGCCATGATGCAAAAAGGAAATCCAGTTCTTGGTGGGAAGAAGGGGTTAGAGAATGGTTTCAGCATTGGGTTTAGAGAGGCTTTGAAACTTTAACAGCACATGCTTTGGTAAGGCTTTTGTTTATTTGTTATTTTGTCCTTGAGTTACATTATGGGGAAAGGATTGTATAGTTTGGAGGCAAGCTTGCTCCTTCATTTTGCACACATCATATTTATTCAGATTCCCCTTCTGAGTTCCGTTTGTGATAAATTGATCCAGATTTATCATCTTCTAAACATCACCAAAGAAAGAAAACTAGTTTGTTATTTCTGCTGATACTGTATTTTAGATATTAATCTTTGCTCTTGATTTCTGTATGCTTTGCCAGAAAATTATGGGCGTCCTTTCAAGGCCTTTTTTTTTTCCTTTCCATTTATCTTTTATTTTTGGGGGATGGTTAGCGGGGGCGGTGTTGTGAAGTTATCCAATTCGTGGGCAGAGAACCTTGCTCTTCTTTTGGTTTGGAAGCCACCCTAATCCAATTACAGCTGCTGCAGCCTGTAATAGCTATCAGAACATGCTGAAGTGAGAAGTGGGAAGGATAAATTCAGTTAGTAATTTTCTGGTGCTTAAAAAATTTCTTGAACTTGTTAACATTTGGCTAAACTTTTAAGGGGATCTGAAACCCAATTAAAAAGGATGTTGTTATTTTGTAGTTTTAAAGACTGTTAGTATCAGTTCCTACATGTTTATAACTCCTGATACAGTTATGATAAATGCAACATTCTTAGCCAGTTGCCAAAGTGTGTGTGATTTGAGCACCCCGTAACATGAGGCTGCTCTCTCAAGGATTCTGACCTTTTAGGCCTTGAATTTTCTAAAAATTACAGAATGCTTCTCCAGCACAATGCCAGGATAATTTTCCTAGTTAAATTTTTAGAAGCCCTCCATATTTGATGCTAATTATATTGTTGCCCAGTCAGATTACTCCCTTACTTGATTTAATTATATTTCTTGCTAAGTCAAATCTTAAAAATATGAAACATACCCACAAACTCGTGAATTAAATGCATAAGTTTTTGGGTATGCGAAATTTCCCTTCCATTTATAGCGATTTAAAAATCTAAAAAGCTTAAAAATTGGGAAATGCTAAAACATGAAACCACACTGGCCAAAATTCTTTTATATATTTTTTTATTCTTGCACACGTGGGATAAATAACGTTTAAGTTCCCTTGAATTGAGGTTTTTTTTTTCTTTTTTTTTTTTTAAAATCTGGCTTGTTTTTTTTTAAAATACATTAATCCGATATTTTGAAAATGGCATGTAATCTAAGTGGCACTTTCTACTAATCAAATTACTTTTCAATTTAATGTATTATATTTTTCATTTGAAATTGGCAGGTGACGTAATAATGATTTTTATCTTGTAAAATATATATAAATCCAAGGAGGATTGAATCCTTTTTAAAAGTAGAAAAATATGTTTTCTCCATTCTCGAATAGGATTAAATTCACATCAATCCCTTAATTTATTCAATTTAATCTCTCAATGTTAAATTGGACCTCAGCTTCAATTTTGTGCCCAATGTTATATTTCATAGTAATTTTTATTCAATTAACTTTCACTTTCGCTTAATTGATATGAGATAGTGTTATTCATGATACATTTTATAAAATAATAAAATTTGTATAATTTAAAATTAAAATATTCATTACATTAAAAAATAAAAATTTGCTTAATTCTCCCAAAAAATTAGTTATTTAAAAATTTTGATTTATTTAATTGGTTTAATATGAGAAAAGTTGAAAATGAAAAAGTCAAAAAATTTAATTGTTGAAATCTAAATATACTATTTTTTAAAAATAATTGTAATTTGTAATTTTTGTTTTAATATTAAAATAAGACATATTATAAGGATAAATAAACTGTTGGAATACATCTGTTTTATTTTTTATTTTTATAAATAAATTTTCTGGGAATAAATAAACGAATTTCAACTTTTTTGAGATATTGATAAACTAAGATTTTTAAGAAATTGAGTTTCTTAATTTTTTTTGAACTTCTAAATTTCTTTCATATCAAATTAAACGCTATCCAGAGAGTTTGAATTTCAACAGTTTTTTACCGTCCAAATAAAAAATTGCTTTTGCATATTTATATTTTCTATTTTTTGATTACTTTCTTGCCTTTTAATTAAAAATAACTAGAAATAGAAGTACTAAACCCTTGTGTGGCTACTGATATAATTATAAATATAAATCTTTTAATTACAATTCAATTTACCTTTTACCAATTTACTAACACTATAAACCCTAAATATTTGTCTCTTAGAAATATTTATATCTTATTTTTTTCTTAATTATTTGCAGGAATATAATTTAATGATTAATAATTTAAATTAATGATTAAATTTACGAAGAAAAAGTTAAGTGCAGTAGTTATAAATAATTTATTTTAAAAATAAATAATTCAAAAATTTTATCATTGTACAGATATTTAAATTTTAATATTCAATTCAAGATGAAAAGACATTATATTTATTAAAAAATTAATAAATTATGCCTCTTGCACTCCTTTTTTAAAATTAATTTATATTTTAAAGTAAAGTAAATAAATTTTAAATTATTTATATTGCAATAAATTATGAGATATTATCTATAGTAAAAATATAATAAAATAATATTACAAGGGAAAATAGAAATTCTAATACTTCTACGTAATATAATTTATTATCAACCTCTAGAGAAATTTACCGTACCTACCGCAATTTTTGGTTTTAAAAACTTTGCTTACATGAACCAATAAAATTAATACATGCACACATGATGGAATGCATGTCAACAAAGAATTTAATTGAAAATTAAAATATTTAAGAGGGTTGAATCAAAATATAGCAATATTCCCGCCCACGAGCCGGCAATCCCCATCACCGTGTGGGTATTCGTACTCCGGCAAGAGTTGTTACTCCATGCAAGACCTTATCTACAACAGTTCTCTCTTAGGGTTTTCAATTCATGCTTTGCAAGAGTTCTCTCTCTTAGGATTTTCAATTCGCTCCCATGACTCCGAATTTCGTCCTGCGAGCTCAACGGATCGAGCCACTATAACTCGTAAGTTATCTCCCAATCTCCTTTTCTATTGTTCCGAGTTGGCCTTATTCTCAACTGGGGCTTGTAGTCAGGGCTTTGATTTGCGTTCTTGGATCAATGCCTGAATTGTTATTTTTTTAACTCCGGTGTTCTTTTCCAGAAAAGTGTTGGTTCGATTTTATTTACCGTTGCGGTGTTAGAAAATTTCATATCTTTGAATGCCTAAATTAACACTTTTTTGATCCTATTTCCTTATAGCAGTGGCATAGAGCTCACTCGAGATGACCATGAGAAGTTGTATTCCAATTTTGGTTAGCTGTAAGCTTCTGTTAAGGCTTATCTATATTCCAACTTGTATTGTCATTTTTTTGCAAGTTTCTTGTTGACAACTTTAATTTTGTAAAACAGTTACCCGTTTTGGTAAAGTCTTTGCCATTATATGCTTGAATTACCTTCTGTCCATTCTTTTAAATTTGTGCTGGGGCATTTGATTCTTCTCAATTATTACACAAAAAGCTTGCAAGTTTGCAGCTAATGCTAGCAAGATATGCTTTACAGAATAGACCAGCAGTTTGCTTGGAGGAGGGTAAATTTTAAAATGTGCCCACATGAATACCATAAAGATATTTATATAGTTGACTAATGGAATGAATTCTCTTATTCAGCAACACTATCAGCTACATTGGGAAAAGTTATAAGTTTCTGGAATAACATATGGATGATATTTTTGTACTTGTGAATTATTGTATATTTCTTTTTTAATATTTAAATTTTTTTTGTGGGATTTGAATTTGACTGATGACTTTCTTACATTGTATCATTATGTATTAGGCCGGTAGATGGGAAAAATATTAAAATGAGGAAGTAGCACTTGGTAGAGGGAAACGCCAGAGAAAAGCTGTTTCTTCCGTGGAAGCATTTGCTCCACATCCTCGTGAAACATTGAGTGAGGCATTTGATCTTCTTGTTTTTTGTAAGAATGACTTTTGCAAGGTATATCTATCACAGTTAAATGCTTGAGCCATATGAAACTACCAAAAAGACCTGTTCCTAATAAATTTTGTGATCTTTTAAATTGGTATAATCTATATTTCCGTTATGGGAAGTATTTCTCTTCTCACAAAGATGCCTTTTGGCAAATAGTCAAATCTTATCTAGCAATTTATTGCTTCCATAGTAGGAACATGAATCTGCTTTAATATTACATACCAGAAAAATTATGCTACTTTATTTTGTTGAACTAAAAAAAACTAACTTACTATGCATAAATCATACCATTATTAAGGGGTTCAAGTCAAGAACAAAAAATAATTAACATTGAGTCAATTTCAGGTGGCACCTAAGTGGAAAACTTTACATTCTTTATTTGGTGGTTGAATTTTATTTTATTTATTTAAGGTTTTATACAACAATTTTTAGGTCATTTGTTATAAGATGCTATGGTCCCTATGGTCTTAGCATAGCTGCATAGAAGGTACATTATCCAATGATTTTGGAGGGTTTATTATAGCATCGGCTAGCATATGGTTGCTGTGTGATGTAGGGATGCAGGGAGTACTATTTTAGCTTTTTTTTTTATTTTCCAACGACAGGAAAGTGCCTAAAATAGTGAGTTGATAAAAATGACATCTGTATCCAATAATATGATACTATAATAAAATCTAGTGATACAATTTAATTCATTTTTTCTGCTGTAGTCGGTCTAATTTAGCTAGTTAGCATTTGTTTCTTCCCAATATAAGATACTAGGAGTAGAAATGTTAAACATGTGTGCACCGTATAGATTTAGAGGTTGTTTCAAAACTCAGCTTTATTCAACTCAACTAAGTCTTTTACCTTCTTTATTTGGTTGGATATATGAATCTTAAGTCTCAATTCATATGAGCTTTTCCAAAACTTTGTCTAATAGAAGTGGAACTGTGGAAGTATTTTTATTCGTGAGATCTTGACAGTGGTTTACTCATTTCACTATGATTAAATTATTTAAAATTTGTGTTGACTACTTTTCTGGCTCTTATGTTCT